TCTCCTGCCATAAAGGTAGGGCTTTAATTACCCAGCTCTGCTGTGCACTTTTTATGACTACACCCATGGCTGGGGCCAAGCAGCAGGAAGACAGAGAAAGAAAAAAGCATTGAGAGCTCACCCCAACCTCTTGAGACCATTTCTCTGATTGGAGAGGAAGGTTCCGATCATTCATAGTTTTATTTTCCTGTTATTCCCCCATTGCCACTGCTGCCACCAAAGGTTTGCTTTGGGCTGGCACACAAAAAAATAGAGAAAAAAGGAAAAGAAAGAAAAAGGGGATTCTATACACCGAGTCTTCGGAGACCCCTTACGCATTGCTCAGGACAGAACTATACTAAGGTTTTTCCTGGAGCTCTCTCCTTCCACGTCATTGGACACTTCCAGATTTCAGGCTGCATTGTGTCCATGCCAGGGTATACTGGAGGAAAAAGAAATGCTAAACTCACCATTGGTTTGGTGGTACTTTATTTTTTTTTCCTTATTAGCATATTCATTGTTACAAATCATACTTATTCTTTACGCCCCTCATCCAATCTCTCCCCTTCCCCTTCCCCCTTTCCCATCTTCTTTCCGTTTTCCCCTTCCCCCTATAACAACCATAGATTTGTTCTCTCCATCTGATAGACTAACTGTTTCTATGTTGGTTTGTTGTCTAGATGATCTGTCCAGTACTGAGATAGGTGTGATCAAATCCTCCCCTATTATCATAAATCAGATGCTTCTTTTATTACTCTGGAGTGTGCTTTGTGGAGAGAGAGGAAGTCTTATTATTATTATTTTTTTTTTTTTGGTCTCTACTAGTGCCCCTCGTGTCTATGAAATTCAGAGTCTGGTGTGCCATCTTCATGGTGGCTGTGACTGCTGCTATAGAGACTAACTGCTTTTGTGGCAGCCGTATCAAATGTGGTGGCTATGGAGGACTGCTCGTGTGAAAGTGTTGTTTATGGTGTGCTCTTTCTGTGGTTGCAGCTGGGTTCAGCTTCCCCCAGCTCTATGCCTCATTCTAAGATGTTGTTGTGGAGCAGTTGGAGAGAGAAAGAGAAGGGAAGAGGAAGGGGAAATAGGGTGGGAAGAAGGGGAAGGAGGGGCAATGTGATCGAGGCCCATGGTCTCCCCTTCATTCCAGCAGGGGAGACCAGGGGGCTTCCAGCAGCGGCTGGGTCATCGCTGGGCTGGATGCAGATGTCAGAGGTATGTGGCTGAATCCCTTGCCCCCCTACTGCCCTGGCTTGGGAGCCTGGGGTGCTTCCTGCAGCAGCTTGGTGGTCATCGCTGGGCTCGGTGCAGATATTGGAGGGGCGTGGCTGAGTCCCTTGGCCCCCTATCATCTGGGCTCAGGAGCCCAGGGTGCTTACTGCAGTGGCTTGGTTGTCGTTGCTGGGCTGGTTGAGGATGTCGTGGGGGTGTGGCTGAAGCCTTTGGCCCCCTAGGTTTGGTGGTACTTTAAATCCTGTTCATCTTCAATCTGCTTGCTACTGTTTACTTTTTACAGCCCTCATAGCTACCCTTGGTTTTTATAACAACCTTCAGTGAGAATGAGTTTAGAGGGTACTTACTCCATTTTATTCAGAGCTGAAACTTCTATGAATTTTTTTTAAATGAATAAAGAATGAAATCGAGTATTTGGTATGGAGGCATATTTTTTCCAACAGAATTTTGTGATAGCACAGTCTAACATCTGTTACTTCACATTTAACTAGCTAGCACAATCATAAGGAGGATTTTTGGTTTTTTGTAAAAGTATACTCAGACTTTGTTTTCTCCAGGGGCTTACATTCTTTTGATATTCAAATCATTCTCTTTTCAAATGCTTTTATTGTCATCATCTTTCATGATTCTCTCATCCACTGGCCTAAGTGCTGAGTTGAGTGGTCATTGTCCTTAATGTTATAGCTTTTGCTTCTCTTCATAAATTTTGGACTTGGATAATGATCACTTTTAATAAAAAGGGTCCCAGTTTTCACTAAAAAAAAAAAAGAACCAAAAAATTGGAAAATAGTGATGTCATTCCTAATTCCACCCTAGTCTTTCACTTGACATTATGTGTTAAACCATTTTTCATTGTTGCTGTATAATCTTAAAATCATTTTTTACAGCTGCAGAATTATGAGGAGAGCTCTCCTAAACCAAATGTACAAGAACTGTTAGGTAATAGTGTCAAAGAGGAGGGGTTCTACTGTACCACCTGAGGATTCTGTAGATTTATAAAAGAAAGGGTAGTACTTGATTAAATACTGAATGAACTTCTATGTGCAAGATCCTGTGCTAGGCATTAGGATATGAATGTGAATACACCATTCTCTGTCCTCACAGAACCTGAGGTTAAATGGGGAGGCAGAAGCAAATAAATAAGTACAATAAAGAAAAAGCACAGAGGTTTAAGTAGGAAAGGGTGGTCAGGAGAGGTTTCACAGAAGTGGTGCCCTTTCAAGGAAGAGTAAGTATTTGCCTGTCAGGGCACAAGACAGAGTGGTACATTGAAGGAAGTACATGTAATTCATTATTTCAGGGTATTAGGTCATAGATTTCTACTTACTGACATTGAATAGTCCACAAGATATATTGTTAAGTGCAAAAAGCAAGGCGAAAAACAATGTGATGATGTGATTCCACTTATGTGAAAAAAACAAAACCATATTGGTATACATATATATGTGTATGTATAAACACATAGCAAAATTTATGAAAGAGCATCTATCCAAACTGGTAACTCTGGTCACTTCTGGGGAGAGGAGTGGGAGCAGAAGTAGAGATATTAAGGGAGACTGTGTATGGTTTGTGTGTTTTAGGCGATTGTTTCCAATTATTATGTGTGCTATTAAATACAATAAGGGGATAATAATGAATAAGTAAATAATGGAACATTGAAACAGTGGAATGTTATTCAGCCACGTAGATACCATTCTCTAAATCAGTAATTTGTAAACATTCTTTAGATTTGGAACCCTTTTTTCAAGCAATTATATTAAGTCCAGTTTTTTGAGACAGCAGAGTGATTTTTGTTTCTATGTTAAGCTAGAGGACCTGGAGATCTTGATTCCTGGATTCGTGTGTGTGCATGCATGCATGCAAATGATGAGGCCTGGAATGCCATTTAGTTTCTGAGGTGTTAACAATCACAGTCTCTGAGAGAAAACATTATAAATGTTTTTAAATTTTCTTTTTTCTTATATATTCTAATTTTTCAATAAGAAACAAATACTGTTTGTTATAGTTAGTAGATTTTATTTTTTGTAGAAAGTACTTAGCACTGGGGCTGTATGGTGAATTGGACATTCTCATACATTAATGATGGGAGTATATAACTTGAGACATCTGTTTGGAAAGAGATTTAGTATCATGTGTCAACAGTCTATGAAAATGATTATACCCTTTGACCTAGTAATCACACTTCTATGATTCTGCCTTAATAAACACTCCAAGAGACTTATGTAAAAATATGCTTATGAGAAAATATGCTTATTATTTATAATGAGAAATTGAAGATGACTTTAATATCTTACATTCTATTTGATGAAATATTATGGTCTTAAAATTATATTCAAAAAGATTTTTAAATAACATTGGAAAAGGCTTGATAAGTGAAAGAGCCCCTTTTCAGTCGGCCCTTCTGCACAGAGATAAACAGTAATTTTTGTTTCTATTGCCGTAGATTAGTTTTGCCTCTGCCTAAACTTTATATGTACTCTTTTGTGTGTCTCTTCTTCACTCACTATATCTTTGAGATTTATACATATTATTGTGTACCAGTACTTTGTTCTTTTTTATTATCGTGTAGTATTCCATTATATGAATATACCACAATGTATCCATTCTTCTGTTGTTATACATTTGAGTTGTGTCCAGTTTGGGGCTATTATGAATAAAGCTGTTGTTCACGTCTTTTGGTGGATATGTGCACTCATTTCTCTTGGGTAAATACTTAGGAGGGGGATTGCTGTACTATATGGTAAGTGTATGTTTAGTTTTATAAGAAACTGCCAAATTGTTTTCCAAATTGTACCAATGTACACTCCCACCAGCAATGTACTGGAGTTCCAGTTAATCCATATCATTGCCAGTGCTTAACACTGATAGTCTTCAATTTTAGCCATTCTGGAAGATATGTAGCAGTGTCACATTGTGGTTTTATATCTGTTCAGGTGCTTTAAGATTTTTTTTTTCTGAGACTGGCCACACCGCGCTCAGCCAGTGAGCGCACCGGCGTCCATCCCTATATAGGATCCGAACCCGCGGCAGGAGCGCTGCTGCGCTCCCAGCGCCGCACTCTCCCGAGTGCGCCACGGGCTCGGCCCAGGTGCTTTAAGTTTTAATATTCACAACTTTTGAACCAATAATTTCATTTTTAGGATATTTTCCTAAGGGTGTAATCTGAAATCCAGAAAAAATTTACATGGACAATATATGCTTTTTGTTGCATAACTTATAATAGTCAAATGCGAGAAATAACTAAATATCAGGTATTAGGAAAGTGGTTACATAATTTATGGTAAATTCATAATGATAAAATATGCAGCCATTCAAAATTATTTGGATAGATTAGACTAATATAATATAATAAAAGCAGGATACAAAATTATAATAGAGTGTGGTATCAAGTATTGATAAATATGTGTACTAAGGTGGACCAGGTATACTTCAAAAAAAAAAATTCTATTTAAAAAAAATACTATAAGGAAACACACCCAAATATCATTGGATGGTGGTACTATGTGATTTTTTTCCCCATCCCATCCCTTATGTATTCCTTCTAGTGATCATGTGATCATTTTAGAATAGCACAAAAAATGTAAGTAAACTTTTTTTTTTAGTACTCCAGATATTATGTTTGATAATACTTTCTCCCTATCTTATCTTTTCTGCAAAGTAAAAATTTGTTCTCTTGGGTTTCTTTAAATATTTGATTTTTGCTATTGTTTTGACTCTCAAGTTATAAATTGTATAAAAAAGAAATTCTCATGTTGTTTCTTCTGAAAATTTTATGTTTCAACATTCAGTCCAGGACCGAAGATAAAATAGAACGATTCAAGAGAGCAGTGGAGTACTACTCAGTCACAACCAAACTCTCTTCGTTTCCAGTGGGTCCCTCCTTTCTAGGTAAGGCTTCTATCTGACCCCACGCTGCTCTGTTCATAGCAGAAAATGAGTTGGTCCCTCAGGAACCCCAGGGCCAGAGTGGAATCACTTGTTTGTGTTATGCCCTCCTAGAAGTCATTCCTGTTTGGTAGGCATTCTTTTGATTTCCATGTCATAAAAGAGGCGACATAAGAAAGGGCCCTGATCTCTCAAATTTATTGATGGGGTATAATGCCATTTCTTCAGCTTGGGCTGCTTCTGGTGCTAACCCCAATTCCAGCCTGGTATATGTAAAATAGCCCTGTGTTTGGGATCAGGCCTGAGTTTGAATTCTACCTCTGCTGCTTACCAGCTGTGTGACATTTGTATGAAATGTGGCTCATGATACCTACTTTATAGGTTCATTATCAGATGAAATAACGTATGTAAGGTTCCTGGCATGGCTTATAGTAGCTGTTCAATAAATTGTAACTTATTTATCAATAAGAATTTTTCAGGTGATATGGGGGTTACCAGAATGTAATATGGTAGAGTTATTAGTATTGACTGAAGTATTATTAGTATTGACTGAAGTATAGCCCTTTCTCTTGGATTCAGGTTTTCGGAATAATAGGCTTGGAAATCCTCCCCTTCTGCAGAATCAAATGGGCACCATTTCTGCTGGAAAGCCAATGGTAAGCATCTTTTAAGAGGCCTGAGACCATTGTTAGCATTAGACTCAGGTTGATTCTCGATTTTTATAATCTGTGTTAAGGAGTTAGGTTTATCAGACAGTGTTGTCAGACTGTCAAGGCCATGTATACCTATATCGTATTTTCAATTCGAGACTGGGAAACTGTAAAGAAAGCATCCAAATCAGTAACCACTAGGGTATTGTGAAAGTAGCTTAGCTAATGTCAGAGAATGTTTTTAGGAGACCTGGATTGATCTGTTGTCCTGCCTCTGGAGGATTCTGTTTATACATTACTGTTAGAATTATTTCTTATTATTCTCATTAGATATTTTGTATCTCAACAGTCCCTGCTATTGACATCATCCATGATGTCACAACTTCTGAGGGAAACTTTTTGAAGCCTGGCAAAATGTTAAATAGCTTTTCTGTCTGTTTTGTCCTTTAGTTTTCTCACCAAGTACCCCAGAAAATGAAATATCCACCACCATTCCCAATGGGATCCAACTCATCTCCTCTCTTTTCCCCCCATGCTTTGGGGGAATCCCATGCTTTTTCGGAGGATCCCATACTGCAGGACATCCCTTTTGCAAACTGGGCTATTTCTTATAACTCCTCTGCATCCCAGTTTCCCAATTACCTGACTTCCAAAGCCTCACCTCCTTTGGGACCAGACTCTTCCCACTCCTCTTCCTCTGATGGTGATGAGCCAAATGGAGCCAGCTCCAAGTAAGTATCTGTATAAACACTCACGGGAACAGACTTCTGAGGCATCTGTGTTCTTTTGCTGGTAACTGGAGTAGGGATGTGGGGAAGTGTACATTCCTGGCTTCCCTCTACAGCTCTTTGCTCTTAGGAAAGCAAAATAGGAAAACTTTCTCTGTTTACCTCCTTCATGCATATTTGGTCCTGTGCAGGTGGTAATTTTTAGATACCCAGGCCACTGAGGTAAAAGGCAGCATAGCAGCTGGTTAGGGAACGCTGGTATGGATGTGCTACATGTCATGGCTGTCATTTTTCAATTTGTGAGGGGGGCAGATTGAGTATTAAAAAAAAAAAAAGAATTTATAGAGTTGAAGTATTAGAACTGTTGAGTAGATGGTTATATTGCTTAGTAACTAAGATAAAGTTCTGAGGATTAAAACAGTGGAATTTTGTACTAGCTCATTTGTTCTTAGGTTTTTCCTCCAAGCAGATTATTCCTGGAAAACAGAGCTGCTTTGAGGTTGCAATTGTAATTATTTTCTTAGAACATAAGCAGACTCTAAACATGGCCTCTTATGAGGTATAAAGGATTCAGAATGGTTCCCATGACTTTTGATTGCTTTGGTTTGTGTCAGGTGAAAGAAGCCAGGAGGGCAGTGATGACCACTAAGAGGAAGGGTATCAGATCCATTGCTAACCCAGTGTCCTGATCTCCAGAGGGTTTGTAAAATTCCTTGGGAATGGACATCTTGAGTTGGAATATCTTTGTCAACCTTCCTTTTCTCTTCTACACTATCTTTCTGAATTTTTTAGTCACATCACAGAAGCACTTCAGCAACAGCCTGGGTGGGAAGATTCCAATGGTGACAGAGGGTCCTGGGTACAGCCTGTTGATGCTGGAGTTTCAGAAGCCAGCCTAGGTGATGGTGAGCCCCACATCCCATCTCTGCTGTCTATGTCTACGAGGAACCACGTGGACATCACCATTCCACCCTTACCTCCAGTAGCTCCAGAAGTCTTAAGGGTTGCAGAACACAGACACCGGAGGGGTCTCATGTACCCATATATCTACCACGTACTCACTAAGGTAAGACAGCACATCAGCACCTATCTTCCTTCTCTTAACACTGTACTTCACACTCCCACTTCCTAGGACTGGAAGCTACTGGAGAAAATTCTGGTTATTGCTATCTGAAGTGAGATAAAAGAGGACCAAATGTTCCAGGGTCCCTCATTGTATTAAGGGCCTCGGGTGGGGTGAGACTAGCAGAAGATGGTACTATGCAGTAAATGAGCCCCTGTATTAGTCTGTTTCTGTTGCTTATAACCAAATACCTGGAACTGAGTAATTTGTAAGATAATGAAATTTATTACTTAGAGTTTTGGAGGCTGGGAATTCCAAAGTCCAGGAAACATATCTGGTGAGGGTCTTCTTGGTGGTTGCTTTACAGCAATGTGGGGTCTCACATGGCAGAAAATGGTGGAACAGAGAGAGAGACTCTCACGTCTCTCCTTTTAAAGCCCTCAGAACCACGCCTTGACAACCATTATTAATCCATTCATTAACGCATGGTCCTCAGAATCCAATCACTTCTTCAAGGCCTCACCTTTCAATTTCCATAATAGGATTTCCTAACCTGTCACAGTGGGGGAACAAGTCTCTAATACATAAAACTTGGGCGACACAATTCAATCCATATCAGCCCTCTAGAAGCGAAGTGTAATTGAGATTTTAAAGTACATAATGTACCAAGTTGGTGGACTCTTGTTCTAAGGATGGACACAGTCTAAGAAGAGGTTTTATACTCTTGTTCCTTAACTCTTCCTCTACTTCTGCAGAACTGTTCGCTTCCTCTGGCCTTACCATACAAATCCACCCTCCAGCAAAATGTTTAAGATGGACTTTCCCCCTTATTCAGCTATAATCAATCATAGCTGAGACTTTAAAAATAGAATACAGCTTATAATTTGGCTGTGGTCAGCTGGGCTTGTTACAGCTTCTTTTCAGTCTGAAACTCTTTGTAAATACATGTAGAAAATTTAGTGGCCAGGCTACAGAGGCTACAGTTCATTACTGATTCTTCTCAGCTCAGTTCCAAACCTTGTGTTGACTCATTTTCTCCTTTTCCCTGGACCTTTCTCTTGTTAGGGTGAGATTAAGATCCCCGTATGTATTGAGGATGAGTGTAACATGGAGCTGCCTCCAGCTGCCCTCCTGTTCCGGTCAGCTCGTCAATATGTATATGGAGTCCTTTTTAGTCTGGCAGAGACACAGCGGAAAATGGAACGCCTGGCCATACGGCGGCGGCTGCCCGTGGAAGGTAAGTGTAGCTATAGCTTTGACAGTTCTCTCAATGCTTGACACAGAACAAAAATGTCTGTGCAAGCACATCATACTTTTGGCTGAGGAGCAGTCTTTAGGAAAGTGTATTATCTACCAAAATACATATTAATATGGGAAATACAATAACTTAAGAGCCAATTCTGCAATCATCAGTTATTCAGAGTGACTGTAGAGCTAGGGCTAGGGTCTGGAGCTCACAGACCCCTGGAGCCTGTTTACAAACCCTTCACATGCAGGTTTACAAGCTAGGTAACCAGAAAAAATGGTCCATGGAGCCTTGGCTGAAGTAGGAACAGTCTTTATTCAGCACACACACGTCTAAGAGTTAAACAGTCCAAAGAAACTCTGAAATTCAACTGCTACCGGCAAAGTCCAAAGAAACACTGAGCAGCTGCCAGCAGAGTAAACATGTTTTATTTTTGGACATGAGCTCTCTGCTGGCCAGCTTTGCTTCACAAACTGAAGAGCACACAATAGCAATTAACTAAAAAGATACATGGGTGCACATGTGCACTAACTCCACCTACACACAACTTATTTACAGAGAAATGTGCTGCACGACCTCTCAACCAGACCTAAGCCAAGGGAGCCTGACTAAATTATCTTATTTTCCCCAGAGACTGCTACTTAAAAGAACCATGCTGGGCTTTTGGAATATAGAGGTGTATCTGACACAGTCTCTCCTCCTCAGTAAGGTTTTTGTTTTGGGATTTGATCCTGTAGGTAGTTGGAGTAACTGAGGTGTTTTAAACTGCAGTGACATGGGTCAAATTAATCTGTTCAAAAGAACACTCTAGATTTCTGCTTCTGGGAAGATGGAGTAGATTAGATGTACTTTTCCCTATTCCTCCTGCTAAGTACAACTAAAAGCCCAGGACATTATATATAAAACAAGTACAAGATACACTAGAAGGTAGAGAAAAAACAGACAGGCTGAGGACTTTGGGACCTAAGGAATGATGCAGTGGTGCCGCGATGAGTTCCCTGGGTTTTCTTTTTGCCTCATATATCCTAGATTGGGTGTGGGACCAGCTGGCAGCCCAGAAATGTCAACAGTTGCAGACCAATAAAAGCCCAAGAAAAGCCTCCTTTCTCTGGCCAAAGGACCAAAAAGGAGCAACCTAGCAATAAAAAAGTTTTAGATAACAACTGCTCTACTTCAGCCAAACACCACAGAAAAACTGTGGTCCATCTCCACCCCAACCTCCACCAGCAAAGGCCAATTGAAGAGCCTAGACTTCTGCCCTGACCAGGCTGTAACAAGGTACCCCACCTGCTCTAGCTGAGGAGGTGTCAGGCAAAGTCAAGTGGGGAGCCAAGACTTCTACTCCCAGGGGCTGCCTGGTTAGCTCAGTTGGTTAGAGTATTGTGCTGATAACACCAAGGTCTAGGGTTTGATCACTGTACCAGCCAGCCACCAAAAAAAAAAAAAGGGACTTCTACTCTCACCTGGCAATAATGAGACAGTATCCCACTTTATCTGTTGGAGTGGTGTCAGAAAAGGCCTGTTAAAATACAAGATTTTAAATAAGATCCAGAGTCTTTTAAAATAATATGCAAAATGTCCAGGTTTCAATGGAAAATCCCTCATCATGTCAAGAACCAGAAAGATTTCAAATTCTAATCTCAAACTGAGAAAGGAAAATGAAGCAGACATTATAAAAATGCTTTGACAAACAATTATAAACATGCTTTGTAGCAAATTAAAAATACAAAGTCTCAGCAAATAGAAGATATAAAGAACCAAGTAGAAATTAAGAACTAAAAAATACAATAAAATATAATAATTTAATAAAAAATACAATAACCAAAATAAAATACTCAATGGATGGGTTAAATAGCAGAATGGAGACAAGAGAGGAAGGAATCAGTGAACTTAAAGACAGAACAATAGAAATTACCCAGTCTGAGTAACAGAGAGAAAATAGACTGAAAAAAAGTGAATAGGCACCTGTGGGATTATAACAAAAGATCTAATATTTGTGTCATCAAAGTAAAGTGCAGTGAAGAATTAACCTCTGGCTTTTGCCCTTGGCTACTGGGAGATGAGATCAGAAAGAGAAGAGAAAGAGTGTAAAGCTACAAAAGAATTCAAAGAAATAATGACTAAAATATCCCCAAATTTGGCAAAAACATAAACCTACAGATTCAAGAAGCTGAGTAAATTATACATGCTATAAACCCAAAGAAATCTATGCCAAGATATATTGTAGTCAAAATTTTCAAAGGTAAAGACAATGAAAAATTATTGAAAGCAGACAGACAGAAACAATGCTTTATCTATAGGGGAAAAATAATACAAATAACAGTTGATCTCTCATCAGAAGCTATGGAGTCCAGAAGGAGGTGGCACAACATTTTCAAGTGCTGAAAGAAAAGAATTTTAAACTTAGAATTCTATATCAAACAAATATACCCTCTAGTAATGAAGGAGGAATCAAGACATTTTCAGATGAAGGAAAACTAGGATAATTTTTTACAAGCATACCTACTCCAAAAGAATTGCTAAAGGTAGTTCTCTACACAGAAAGGAAATGATAAAAGGAATCTTGGAACATCAGGCAAAAGGAAAGAACAAAAATATGGATAAACACAATACAGTTTCCTTCTTCTCTTGAGTGTTCTAACCTGTGTTTCTCATAGAAACAAAAATTATAACACTGTTTAATGTGGTTCTCGATGTATGTAGAGAAAATATTTAATACAATTACAAATGATATAGAGTGAAGAGACATAATATAGGTCAGGTTTCTGTACTTGAACTGGTAAAATGTCAATACCAATAGACTGTGGCAAGTTATGTATATATAATTTAAAATCCTAGAACATGCACTGAAAAAGATATACAAAGAGATACACTCAAAAACACTATAGATAAATTAAAATGGAATTCTAAAATTAGTTTAAGTAATCTGTAGGAAGGGAAGAAGAAGGAAGCAGAGATGAAAAAGAGAACTAACAGAAATAAAATGACATTTAATCCCTAATATATCAATAATTATATTAAATGTAAATGGGCTAACTTTACCAATTAAAGTGTAGAGATCAGCAAACTGGATACAAAACGACCCAACTATGTGCTATCTACAAAAAAATTCACTTCAAATATAAATGATATATGTAGGTTGAATGTAAAAGGACGGAAAACGATATACCATGCAAACATTAACCCAAAAAATCAGGAATGGCTTTATTAATACCACATGAAGTAGACTTCTGAGCAAAGAAAATTGCCAGGGACATAAATGGACATTATATATGGCAATAGAGTCAGTCCACCAAGAAAACATAGCAATCCTAAGTGTATATCACCAAGTAACAGAGCCACAAAATATGTGGTGCAATAACTGATAGAACTGAAAGGAGAAATAGATAAATCCACAGAGACTTCACCTCTCTTCTCAATAATGGGTGGAACAACTAGACAGAAAATCAGCAAGTATATAGAAGAATTCAATAACAAAATTAATGAATAGGATCTAATATACTCTTGTAGAACACACAAGAGCACAGTACACATTGTTTTCATGCACCCAGAATATATATCATGATAGATCATATCCTTGGCCATAAAGCAAACCTCAGTAAATTTAAAATAATTGAAATCATATAAAGTATATTCTCACACCACCATGGAATCAAACTAGAAATCAGTAACAGAAAGATAACAAGAAAATATACAAATACTTGGAAAATAACAAAGCACATCTATCCAATCCGTGGGTCAAAGAAGAAGTCTCAAGGGAAAGAAAGAAACACATTGAACTAAATGAAATAAAAATGCAACAATATTAAAATTTGTGGGATGGACTGCTGGGTATATACCCAAAGGAATGGAAATCATCATGTTGAAGGGATACCTGCACTCCCGTGTTTATTGCAGCTCTGTTCACAATAGCCAAGAGTTGAAACCAACCTAAATGTACATCTATAGATGACTGGATAAGGAAATGGGATATATATACACAATGGAATACTACTCTGCTGTAAAAAAGAATGAAAATCTGCCATTCACAGCAATGTGGATGAACTTAGAGAAACTTATGTTAAGTGAAATAAGCCAGGCACAGAAATAGAATACTCATGTCCTCACTCATAAGTAGGAGCTAAAAAAAAGCAAAGAAAGAAAGATACAATCATCACAATAATATGTTGAGCTTTCAGAAGGAGGGAACAGAACTGAGTCCACCAGAGGTGGGAAAGGGGGAGAGGGAGGGGTGTTAGTGAGAAATTGGTAAAGGGCTACAGAAAATGATTACATGGTGTAATGCTGACTATACTAATTATCCTGATTTGAGCATCACATATTGCACACAGGTATTTATATTCAATGCTGTATCCCATAGATATGTATGATCAATTATGTTTCAAGAAAAAAAAAAGTAAAAAAAATTTGTGGGATGGAGCTAAATCATGGCTGAAAAGGAAATCTGTAGCACTAAATGGTCATATTAGAAAAAAAGTCTCTAATCAATCTTAAAACTTCTACCTCAAGAAACAAGAAGAGAAAGAGAAAACTAAGCCAAAAGCAAACCAAAGTGATGAAATAATAAAAATAAGAGCAGAAATCAGTGAAATTAAAAATGGAAAAAAGAGAACATCACTGAAACAAAAACCTGGTTCTATGAAAAGAACAATAAAACTGATAAACTTCTAGAAAGACTGTAAAGAAAAAACGAGATGACACAAATTACTGATATCAAGAATGAAACACAGGATATCACCACAGAACCTGCAGACATCCAGAGGATTATATGGGAATACTGTAAGTAGCTCTACACACATAAATTTGACAACTTAGTTAAAATGGACCAGTTTATCAAAATACACAAACTCACCCAATATGAAATAGATAATCTGAATAGCCCTATAAATATTAATGAAATTTAATTTTAAACTTCTCAAAAAAAGAAATCTGGGGCCGGCCCCATGGCGCACTCGGGAGAGTGCGGCACTGGGAGCGCAGCGACGCTCTCACTGCGGGTTCAGAGCCTATATAGGAATGGCGGGTGCGCTCACTGGCTGAGCAAGGTGCGGACGACACCAAGCCAAGGGTTGCGATTCCTTTACTGGTCACGAAAAAGACCAAAAAAAAAAAAAAAAAAGAATTCTGGCTTAATTGGTTTCACTGGAGAATTCTACCAAATGTTTAACAAAAAATTAACATAAATTCTACACAATCTTTTCCAGAATATAGAAAAGGAGAGGATACTTCCCAGCTCATTCTATGAAGCCAATATTACCCTGATTCTAAGAGCAGATAAAAGCAGTACATAAAAATGACTCTTAAGACCAGTATCCCTTATCTGAATATATGTTACGGACTGAATGTTTGCATCCCCCTCCAAATTTATATGCTGAAATCCTAATCCCCAATGTGATGGTAGTAGGAAATGGGGCCATTGGGAGGTAATTAGGTCATGAGGGTGGAGCATTCATGAATGGGATTAGTACCCTTATAAAAGGGACCCCAGAGACCTCTCTCTGCTTTCCACCATGTAAGGATACAACAAGAGGACGGCCATTTGCAAACTAGGAAGCAGACTCTCACCAGATGTATCTGTCAGCATCTTAATCTTGGACTTCCCAGCCTCTAGAACTGTGAGAAGTAAATTTCTGTTGTTTATAAGCCATCCATTCTATGGAACTTCATTATAGCATCCCAAATTTACTAAGAAAGTATAGATGCAAAAATTCTTCGCAAAATATTAGTCAGTAGAATTCAGCAATATATAAAAAGAATTATACAGCATGGCCAAGTAGGGTTCGTTCCATGGCTATAAGGCTGGTTCAATATTTGAAAAATCAATCAAATGTAATCCACCATGTAAACAGGCTAAAGAAGAAAAATCATGTGATTATATCAACGGATGCAGAAAAAGTATTTGACAAAATTTGATACACATTCATGATAAAAACTATCAGAAAACCAGGAAAGAGGGAAAGTTCCTCAACTTGATAGAGAACACCTACAAAAAACCTCCAGCTAACATACTTAATGGTGAAAGACTGAATTTTTTTTCCCTAAAATCAGGAGCAAGGCTGATGTTTGCTGTTTTCAGTGTTGTTCAACATAGTTCTGGAAGTTTTAGCCAGAGTGGTAAGGCAAGAAAATGAAATAGAAGGCATACAGATCAGAAAGGAAGAAATAAAACTGTTTAATCAGAAAATCACAAGGAATCTACGATAAAGCTGGAACTAATCAGTGAGTTTATTAAAGTTGCGGGATATAAAATAAACATAAAAATTGATTCTCTTTCTATATACTAACAATTAATATTGTGAAACTGAAATTAAAAATATAACAATATTTATAATCCCTCCAAAGAAAATTAGACATTTAGTTATAAATTTAACTTTAAAAGGTGTTCAAGATTTGTATGCTGAAAATTACAAAATGCTGATGAAAGAAATCAAAGAACATCTAAATAAATGGAGAGATGTAGATGTTCATGGATTGGGAGATTCAACATAGTAAAAATGTCAATTCTCCCCAAATTGATACACAGATTTGGTGCAATTCCTATCTACATTCCAGCAAGATTCTTTGTATATATTGATAAGATTATTCTAATATTTACATGGAAAGATAAAGGAATTAGACTAGCTAAAACAATTTTGAAAAGGAAGAATAAATTGGGAGCAACCACTATTTGCAAGACTGATTATGTAGCTACTATAATTAAGACAGTGTGGTATTGGCAGTGATATTGACACATAGCTCAATGGAACACAATAGAGAATCCAGAAATAGCCCCACATGAGTACAGCTGTCAATTTTTTTTTTTATTGAAACATAACTTATTATACATCTTTGTGCAGTACAGAGTTGAATATCAATACCTGTGTACAATGTGTGATGATCAAATCATGATAATTAGCATATTCATTGTATTAATCCATTTTGCGTTGCTATAACAGAACACCTGAGACTGGGTAATTTATAAAGAACAGAGGTTTATTTGGGTTATGATTCTGGGACAGCTGCATGAGATTGGGAGGGAAGGAGGGAGAGAGAGAGAACGAGAACTAGGGTCTTTTAAACAACCAGCTCTTGCAGGAACTAATAGAGGGAGAACTCACCCACACCCCAGGGAGAGCATTAATCCATTCATGAGGGATCCACCCCCATGATTCAAACAGCTTCCAGCACTGCCACATTGGGGATCAAATTTCCACATGAGTTCTGGGAGGACAATACATCCAAACTCCATCATTCATCATTACAAAATATAATCATTCTTTGTTATCTGTTAACCAATTTCTCACTAAGCCCCCACCCTTTCCCCTTTTCTCACCTCTAATAATTACAGTTTTGAATTCTCCTTCTGAAAGTTTAATATATTGTAATTGTTCTTTATTTTTCTTATTCATTTATTTATTTTTTAGCTCCCACTCATGAGTGAGGACATACGGTATTTCTCTTTCTGTGCCTGGCTTATTTTACTTAACAAAACCTTCTCCAAGCTCATCCATGTTGCTGTGAATGGCAGAATTTCATTCTATCAGCCAACTCATTTTTGACAAAGCTGCAAAAGCACTTCATTGGAGGAAAGATAGTATGTTTTTAAATGGTTCTGGGTTAACTGGACTTCCATAGGTGAACAGTACCACATATCTAAACTAGTATCTAAAATATATAAGGAACTCTCAAAATTCAATATAACAAAAACAATTAATCCAGTTAGAAAATCAGCAAAAGATTTGCACAGACATTTCACTGAAGAAGATAGACATATGGCAAATAAGACATGAAAAGATATTCAACATCATTAACCATTAGAAAAATGCAAATTAAAACCACAGTGAAGTATCACTACATAACTGTCAAAATGGTAACATGAAAAATTCTACTTGCTGGAAAGGATGCAGAGAAATTAATTCTCAAACTGCTGGTATGAATAAAAAATGGTACTGCCACTCTGGAAGATAATATTAATTCCTTTCAAAACTAAAAATAGACACCATACCACCCAGCATTTACACTCTTGGGCATTTATCCCAGAGAAGTGAAGACTTATTTTCATTTAGGAACTTGTTCATAAAGCGGCTTTGTTCTTTTTTGTTTTTTGGAGGCTAGCCGGTTTGGGGATACGAACCCTTGACCTTGATATTACAAAACTGTACTCTAACCAGCTGAGCTAACCAGTAGGCCCCCATCGTCATTCTTAATAGCATCAAACTGGAAACAACCCAGATATCCTTCAGTGGGTGAATGGTTAAACTGTGATACAACCATATCATGGAATACTATTCAGCAAAAAAGGAATGAACTATTGATACGTGCAACAAACAACATGGATGGATCTTAAGGGTATTATGCTGAGTGAAAATGCTAATCTCAAAAGGTCACATATTGTGTGATTCCATTTATATAACATTCTCAAAATGACAAAATTTTAGAGATTGAGAAAAGATTAGTGGTTGCCATGAGTTAGGGATAGTGCTGGAAGGTGTTGGGTGTTACTATAAAGGGGAGGCAGAATAAAAATCCTTGTGGTTATGTAATAGTTCTGTATCTTGATTGCAGTGGTGGTATGAATCTACACAACATACTCATAGAACTACACACACATATTATACCAATGTCAATTTCCTGGCTTTGATGTTGTATTATAATTACTTAAGCTATAACCACAGGGGGAAACTGGGTGAAGGGTATACAGGATGTTTCTCTACTATCTTTGCAACTCCTTGTGAAACTATAATTATTTCAAACTAAAAAGTTGAAAAAAAAAAAACAAAAACAAAAAAAACAAGAGCACTCCAGTGGTTGTGGAGCTTGGATGTGAGGGGGACCAGACAGGATTGAAGGTAGGAACAAACAGTCTAGAGACTCTTTTCAGATGAAAGATGATAATCTGAACCACTACAATTTTTTTTTGTGATGGAGAAAAGGGTACCGAAAGAATGGTTGATAAGGAGGTAGAATCAGCAGGACCTTGGTAATAACCAGACGTATAGGAAGTGAAGGAGAGAGAAGACTCTGGGATGACTTCCAGGTCTCTAGCTTGGGTGATTGAGTAGATGCTAGACTTCTCAGATAAAAGAGGCCATAGCTTAAGAGCCCAAGGTGTATTAGAAGTAGATAGAAGATAAGTGTTCTCCTGGTCTAACAGTACTTATGTAAATCTAAAAGATGTTAGGTTTTTTTTTTTTTTTTTCTTTTTGTCTTTTTTACTGACTGGTAATGGGATCGCAACCCTCGGTGCTGCGCCCGCACCGCACTCAGCCAGTGAGCGGGAACCGGTCTCCACATGGGATCCGAACCCTCGGCGGGAGCGCCGCTGCGCTTCCAAGCGGCGCACTCTCCAGTGCGCCACCGGGCTGGCCCAAGAAAGATGTTAGTTTTTGAGAATTTTTGTGAAATTCCTTAAAGTCTTTTGGGGTGTCCTATAGTCTATTATGAAGTCACATATTCAAATAATTTTTCCTTGGACTTCTTTCCTTGCCTAGCCTGTTAAACCTATTTAAGAAATGAGTTTCAGAGTAATCAAGATCTGTGTGACATTGAGCCTTGCTCTCTTCATCTGTAAAATGAGCACTATGTTTTGTGATAATGTTGTCATAATAGTTCCCTCTTAGAATTTTTATGAAAATTAAATGAGGTAATATATGTAAAGTACTGAACAAATATCAAGCACCTAATAAATGCTTACTACTCTTGCTGTTACTGCTGTTAACAATAAAAATTATAGTGACAAAAAAATTAAAAGATGTTGAAGTGCAACGGATACTGTCAATTGTGGCCAGCTGCAATAAATGCTCAGAGATTCTCTAGAGCCTATTTTTCCTTGATTTGTTTTCCAGTTCCTTCAGTGATCCTTAAAGAGTGGTCTGCGTATAAAGGGAAGTCACCTCAAACCCCTGAGCTCGTGTCTGCACTGACATTTCGGGAATGGACTTGTCCAAACCTCAAGAAGCTCTGGCTAGGCAAAGCAGTTGAGGACAAGAACAGAAGGATGCGGGCCTTCCTGGCCTGTATGAAGTCAGACACACCCAGTATGCTCAATCCAGCTAATGTCCCCACCCATCTGCTGCTCATGTGCTGTGTACTCCGGTAAGCCATGTGACAGGGAGGTGGCCAGTTCCTTTCTCTTACTTTTTTGACATTTCCTTTAAGTAAATTTTCTTATGGTATTTCAGGGTGGGGAATTTTTGTTTTATGTTTGGCGTAGATTTCAGAAACACTGAAAATGATCGTTAGGATAGTCTCCTTGAGAGGTTTATGATCCTCTGTCATCAGTCCATGCAGGACCCTTCTTTTATGTTTGGTTTTACTTTCATTTTTGTCCTCGTCAGTCCTTATTCCTCATCCAGTTCCCTTCTGCTTTCCACCCATAGTCATCCACTCTTGGGTATTTGATGTGTGTTCTTCCAAGCCATCTTCCATATACTTATTTAGACATATGTATATTCATGCACAGTCTCTAGTATTGTTCGTAGGCATATATTTTTTTCTTTTTTACATGAAAGGTATTGTGCTGTACATCTTCTGTTTCTTACTTTTTTCACTGTTATTTTTAAGATCTGTCAATATTCATATATGGTTCATTCCTCTTGACTGCTGGGTTATGTTCCATCAAATACTAATATCACAGTATTTTATTGATTGATTGATGGATAGTTGTTTCCAGTTCTTTGGTATTACAAACAGTGCTGCAGGGCTTTATAGATGTCTCTGTCACTTTGTGTTCCTGTGTCAGTTTATCTGAAGTATACATCCAAGAGTAGAATTCATAGATCCTGTAAAATATGCATGTACATTTTTCATTAAATATTGCCAAATTGCCCTAGGTTATAGCTATACTAATTTATATTCCTGTAAACGATACATAAGTGTTTCTATTTCCTCATATTATTGCCAGTACTAATACACAACTTAATTTTTGCCAATCCAGTGGGTTTCAAATAATATCCTTTATTTTAATTTGTATTTCTTTGACTATAGATAAGGTCGATCTATTTCTGTGCGTATTAGCCATTTGAGTTTTCTCAGTCTCTGAAGTGCTTATTTATTTATCTTGCAAATTTTCTATTAGGTTACTTGTCTTTTTTCTTGCTGGTTACAGAAGTTCCTTGTCAGATATGTGCATGTATAGATACACACACGACAGTATTTCAGAATGTTCGTGGAAAAATATAATTGAAAGATATGAATCCTTCCATGAACTTTTTTTTTTTCCTTTGGTGGCTGGCCAGTATGAGGATCTGAACCCTTGACCTTGGTGTTATAATACCATGGCTCTAACCAACTGAGCTAACCAGCCAGTCTTTCCATGAACTTTTTAAAGACCCCTTGTATACAGCAGATATATTTGTATGTGGGTGTATGCGTGTGTATCTAATATCTTTTCTAATCAGTCACAATTTGCTTAAACTTTATGTACAATAACGTTTGAATAGAGTATTCCATTTTTACTATCCTTTTATTATAATTTCATACATGCAGAAAAGTTGGAAGAATATTGCAATGAACATCCCTGTAATTACTACCTACATTCTACAATTAAGGTTTTACTATACTTGCTTTATCCCTTATAACTATCCCTCTATCCATCTCGTCATCCATTTACCCATCCTTTTTGTTGCATTTTCATGTAAATTATAGATATCCGTGTACTTCTCTCTTAAATACAAAAAAGTATTTGTTTTGTTTTTGTGAAACCCATCAGTTTGTACCTTTATGGTGGATATTTTGGTGCCTTATTTGATAAATTCTTTCATATCCCTGAGTCATAAAGATATTTTTCTGCATTTTCTCATAGTTTTTATAACGTTGTCTTCCATGTCAGGTCTTTAATACAGTGGGTATTTATTTTGTACATGCTGTGAGAAATGATCTAACTTTATTTTCTCTACAAAATAAGCCAATTTCCCACCTCCGTTTATTAAACAATCCCTTCTTTCCCCACTAATTTGTATTACCACCTTTCCTATGTACCAAGTTGCTTTATATACATGAGTCCATTCCTGGATTCCATTTTGTCCCATTGCCTATTTCATCCCTCATCACGATCACATTGTTTCAATTATTAAGGATCTGTAATTTGCCTTAATATCAGGAAGAGCAAATCTCCACTCTTTCCTTTTCTTACTTCAGAATTGTACTAGCTATTCTTGTACTTTATGAAGAATAAGGTATCTTATTCTTCCATGTATAATTTAGAATCAGTCTAGTCTCTACAAAATCTGTTTGGGATTTTGTTGGTCATTGAATTAAATTTATGGATTAATTTGGGAAGCATTGACATTTTTATAATGTGAAGTCTTCCCATCCAAAGATCATAGTTTACTTCTCCCACTTATTCAGATGTCCTCCTTCATGTCTTTGTAGAATTAATTTTTTTCATACAGGTCTCCAGTATTTTGTAATTAATTCCTAGGTACGTGATATATATTGCTGTAATTATGTATGGCATTCTACTTTCTCTTTTTCTTTTTTAAGTTTGTTTATTTATTAACATTTTTTTACATTCAAAGATATCATTGTGGAGTAGTTGGGGGGAAGGGAGAAGGAGGAAGGGAGAAGAGGGGAAGGGAGAGAGGGGAAGGGGGAAGGAAATAGAGCAAGAGAAGGAGGAAGGAGGGGGGTATGGTTGAGGCCTGTGGCACCCCCCTCATTCCTCTAGGGAAGACCGGGGGCTTCCAGCAGTGGTTCAGTCTTTGCTGGGCTGAATACAGATGTCAAGGGGTGTGGCTGAAGCCCTCAGATCCCTACCACCCCAGCTCAGGAGCCCAGGGCACTTCCTGCGGCAGCTCAGTAGTCATTGTAGGGCTAGTTGTGGGTGTCAGGAGGGTGAGGCCGAGGCCTGGGGCCCCCCACTGCCCTGGCTCAGGAGCCCAGAGCACTTCCTGCAGTGGCTCAGTGGTTGTCACTAGGCTGGTTGCTGATGTTGGAGGGCATGGCTTAGGCCCCTGGTCCTCCCCAATCCCTGGTTTCAGAGCCCAGGGGGCTTTTGGTCCTTCTAGGTTTTATGGCTGTTCTTTGGTGATGTGAGACCTTTACTAGTTAATACCAGACTTTGTCTGTGATCTGTGGGTATTTTGTTTTTTCTTTCAGTTCTGTATTGGATTATTGGTTGTTCCTGCCAATTAAACTGTGCACTGGGACTAATTTGTTGTCCTTTGCTTACTTCTAAAATGGGAGAACTTCCTGTGGGGACCAGCACTTGAGCCCTGTGGTTGAGCTAAATTGCTGCTTTGCTGCTGATTCCCTGGGGAAGGCTTTTTGTGCAGCTCAGGTTTTAATGGTTGGCCTTGTATATACTCCCAGGTCTCATGAGGTCTGGTACACCTGACTGTGGAAACTCTGGTCTGGGCCCAAGTCTTCAGCAGTCTGCACTGAAAGTCTTTAGTTCTTTATTCCTGATCAGTTTCCACTGAGTGGTTCTGCGCTGATTGGAGAGCAGATCAGCTGTCCATGCTGTGCTCCAGTGTTCCCCGGGTGGGCCCATGGGACAGGCCATGTGCTTGTCCCTTGTGATGACTCACTGGCCTCTGAGTGGCTCTTTTTTTCAGTTGTTGTGGTTCCTCGCTCCTATATGGGTCCACAGGAACCCTGTTAGTAGTCTTGCTGACCTGGGGGCCATCAAGGCCCTCTTCTCCCCTGCTGCCTCCAAGCAACTTCATCCAAGGGGCACAGTTGTAGCTTTTGCCAGCTCTTGCTCCATGTGCTCACCAGCTCCAGCCTTGAAATGGTGGGAGTGGTCCTTTCTCTTATCGTAGCTTCTGCTGCCTTCATGAACTCTGTAGGTCTCTCCTCTTCCTCTGAGCTCTAGCTTGGCTTGAGTGACTCCAGCTTGGCTGCCATTGCTTTGTAATAGTTGTAAATTGGTTGATTTGTGGGAGAGAGTGATGCTGGGGACCGTCTATTCTGCCATCTTGACCTGAAACCCTCTACTTTCTATTAAACTTTCTCATCGCTTATTTGCTTATGTAGAGGAAATAAGTTTTTGTGCAAAGGGGAGCTTAGGCCCTACAATTCACCAGTGAATTATAGAGTGCTGAGCTTTGAAACCAGGCAGACCTTAGTTTGAATTCTGATTCTGGCACTTTTCAGCTTGGATAAGTGACTTTAGCCTTTCTAAGCATCTGTTTCCTCATTATAAATGGGTATAATAATTCTTCTCATAGCTCTTTGAGCATTGAGACAATGCATGCCGTGGTCTTACCACATAACAGATCTTCAATATATGTTAATTCCTTAACCACCTTGACATTATGATTGGTAACTTATGGTATTTTACCAATACGAATAATAGATTAGGATTTATTCCTCCTAGTTCCTAACATGTTCCTAGGCTATAGCCCTACATTATCTCCTATTAACTCTGGAATTACACATTTTATTTATCTTCTTTCTAAAATGTGTAGTAATAGCTCATTTTTCCATTTATTTGGTTCTCTGGGTTATATGGAATATTTCCAAGAACATGAAAACAACTAAAAATGGCTTATGAACAGCTATAATAACTATCACAAGGACTGTGTTCTAATAGTCTAATAGGTTCTGGATACTTCCTCTGAAGAGAATCTTTTAATTTCCTGCTCAACCTATTTATTCTTAATTTAGACACATTTCTGACAGTTTGGTCATCTGATTTTCTAGTGTAGAATAGATCAAAAGCAGCAAATTGTAAGGAAGGTGAGACAGGAAGTAGGAGCTACTCTTAGAACCAGCCCCAGTGACAGCATTGATAAGTGACAGCCTACTGCCTAAAAGCAGGGAAAAAGATATAAAGATTACTTTTTTAAAAGACCCAAAAATAAGAGGCAGCATCTGGAGTTATTTAGTGTAAGGGGTAATTGCCCTGTATAAATCACTAATTCAGTTGCCTGTGGCTGCAATACATCAAACCAAAAGTTTAACTGGGGGATCTGGACAATAACACAGCCATAAGGGGCTTTGGCAAGCTCTCACGTATTCCTGGGGATCTAGAATACTGCATGTACACTCAGGAGAGATGAAAAAGGGCCCCAGTTATTTATTTGTACCTAGCAGAACATGAGGCCTTGCACAAGGTGAAAATAAAAGCCAGAGCAGACATGTAAACTGCC